CCCTGTGGACAAGAAAACTTGTGTTTAGTGATTAAGATGAATAAAAAGTGTTTTTAGTGTACATCCCAAAATACAGGTTTGTATTTGCTTTTTGATCATAACATACTAATGATTTCAATTGCTTCAGCCAAATATTCCCTGTACTTTATGTTAGCAATGACCATCTCAGGGCTCTCCCTTTTGATTCTTTACATACAGAAATCAACTGGCCAACAAGATGCTGCTCCAGATTCCAAGCTCACACACTTAAGACTTTACTTCAGTTTCATTTAAAATCAGCAGTTGACTCCTGCAGGGGACATGTCCTGGTGTTCTCCTACCAGCTCCTCCGAAGGGTGGGTGCATCCTCCGGCCTCAGGCTGCTCCTTCTTCTCCTGCACCACTGAACGTTCGACTGAAGTGGTGGTGGGCCGGCCACGATACCTGAATGAAAAGCAAAGATAAGTTTATATTCTGAAATTATTTAGGTTTGAGGTTTTGCTGCATGCATTTGCCAAGCAAGACAATAAATTAAGAGCCGTTGGTTTTGAAAATATCACTTTGGGCTCTTGAATATTTTGATTTGACAAGATAAGATGAATCAATTATTCCCAAATCACTCAGAAGTTTAATTCGTTAAAGACTTTTATTTTTGTAAGAGTGTGGTCTTTTTAGGTATTGCTAATTTAACAATGCCATAACTATGATTATGGCATATGGACGGCATAAATTTTATTGTCATTCTTTTGAGGTTGGTTGTGAATGTACCTGCTACTGCCGCTGACAGGTGGAGGATTATTGCGAGGAGCGTTGTATCTGTCCCTGTTGCCAGTATTTGGACGATGACCACGAGCATCCACAGTCTCCTGCATGAAGACAAGGAGAACACTTTATTAATGAAATGAATCACACAATATTAAAAAGAATATAACTTGTTATGAATAAAAAGATAAAATATGTTCAACATACATTTGTTTTTGATCCTGATGAGGTTACGGTATCCTGTAAGAAACAACAGGAAACAGCTGTATTGTATTTTCTCTCTGCCATGCTTTAATTTAAAATAACTTTTTTCACTTATTTAGGTATGATACATACCCAGACATCTTTAGGTCCATACTCAATGTTTTTTCAAGTGAATTCACAAACACTCACCATGTCATAATCATCGTATTCCAGATTATCCTGAGCCCAGGCGACATATAGGCACAGACACAGCACCAGCAGCGTCCTCATTGTTCACGGTTAGTAAAGTTACTCTTCTTAAATTCTCGTGCTCCGCTGTCTTCAGTGTACCTTCACTACTTTTCTGTCCCTGAAGTCTGATGGAACCAGGTATTTATCTTGTCCAGGGATGAGTTGTTATCCTCCCCCAGTTTTATTGATCTGCTTAAGTTGGTCAGTACAGAACAGTTTACCTAACCTGAGTCAAAGTAAATGTTGAGTTCATGTCGGGACAAAAGGACAAAGTGACCAAAGACTTGACTGCAAGTTTCTGGTTCCAAAATAGGTCTTTAAGAAATATTGTTTAATGTTGATTAAAGTTACTGATTAACCTAGCTTTGACTTAGAACACTTAGATCCAGTACTCTATGTTTCTGGAACATGGTACATTTAATGCAACCTGGAGGAGAATATGGAAAGAATAGGAAACTTAGTTTATTGGCTAATTACAATATTGTAATAAATATGATAAATATTAAAGACCTTCAACTTCAAGCTATAAAAAATAACCAAAGGATTCAAATGATCAGAATTGAATATGTGGTCACATGGAGCGAGCATTACAACTGGGAATGACTTCTCTCTCCTGATGACCAGAGACGTGGAGTCCTTTATTTCAGGGGTGGGCACATAACCGTTAAAAAACCTGGTATGTTTATTGTTTTGACCCACCAGATGTGATGGGTTAGATGTTTCTACAATCTTGTGTATATTTACAAAAACGTTCCAAAGGCTGCTGCCTCCAGAATGATTGGTTTCACTTACTTCGTCATTACTTTACCCTAAAGATATCATTGTTAGTCATATTTTCTCTGTGTTTATACATGGTGTTCTTAAATGTCCCTTCAAAGACCAATCTTTCATGTGTGGGCATAGCAGAAACTAGATCAGTGTTGGGAAATAGGAAGCTTGTGCAAGTGGTTTTTGTTTGAGTCCAAAAGGGTATGTGGTGCTGTGTTATGAAATCAGAGGCTACAACAAACAAACTTAAGCCGCACAGTTACTCTAGCATGACACTGTGTACAAAAAGTGATATATTCATGTGAATTATTTTGATCTAAACCAAAAAAATAGCTGCTGAACCAGAACTCCTGCCCTAACCTGAGGCTACATCCCAACTGTGTGTCCAGATAAGTGGGTTGGCTCCTATTTAGAAATAATCTTTATCCTTTCATCATGAAAAAAATTCAAGAACACTGTTTATTTTCATGCTGGTAAATAAGAAAGCTCATAATACCAGCACTGGTTCAACAGAGAACAGTGACTCTTAATGTAGGCTGATAACGCCACGAGACAGGAAGCTTTTGATTTATAGTTTCACTTCCTGCACATACAGGAAGTAGTATTTTTATTACATGCAGAATTTAACCACACAACAGACAGGCTCAGACAGTCAGATCAGTTGTACCTGAGTAATAAGTCACTCATTCTTCTGAAAACTGGTCACGTAATAGTGATGAATCTGGGAAGAACACAACTGAATATGCAACGGATAAGAGCCAATGAGCAAGAAAAAGTGTGTGGTCAACCTTTGTGCTCATACACATTAAAGTGCAACCAACACATTTTTTATTTGTAATAAAATTTAGTCTCAAATATAAATAGACTGATGACCCCCACTGTGAGTTTATTTTTTATTGGTGTCCCCACAAGGTATATGTTATATGTTCAGTATCCCCACAAAATGAGTATATAGTCGAGAGTCGTGTCACCACAATGTGTGTTGCATGTATTAGTGTCCCTACAATGTGTGTTGCATGAATTAGTGTCCCTACAATGTGTGTTGCATGAATTAGTGTCCCTACAATGTGTGTTGCATGTATTAGTGTCCCCACAATGTGTGTTGCACGAATTAGTGTCCCCACAATGTGTGTCGCATGTATTAGTGTCCCCACAATGTGTGTCGCATGTATTAGTGTCCCCACAATGTGTGTCGCATGAATTAGTGTCCCCACAATGTGTGTCGCATGAATTAGTGTCCCTACAATGTGTGTTGCATGTATTAGTGTCCCCACAATGTGTGTTGCATGAATTAGTGTCCCCACAATGTGTGTTGCATGAATTAGTGTCCCTACAATGTGTGTTGCATGTATTAGTGTCCCTACAATGTGTGTTGCATGAATTAGTGTCCCCACAATGTGTGTTGCATGAATTAGTGTCCCCACAATGTGTGTTGCATGACTTAGTGTCCCCACAATGTGTGTTGCATGAATTAGTGTCCCCACAATGTGTGTTGCATGACTTAGTGTCCCCACAATGTGTGTTGCATGACTTAGTGTCCCCACAATGTGTGTTGCATGACTTAGTGTCCCCACAATGTGTGTTGCATGTATTAGTGTCCCCACAGAGTGAGTATGTGATTCGGATAGTCCCCAAGAAATGTTGCCTGCTCTGCTGGCTTCTTCTTCTGGTCTTGTAATCTATGTTTTTTTGTCTATGTAGATTTTGATTATTTATTCTTCTTAATTGTACTCTCGACAACATTTTAAATGAGGGCTTGTCTTCAAAGATTTCACGGGAATAAATTAAGATAGAAAAGTGATTGTTTTATCTAGATTGGTGTCCACACATTGTAATGTTGATAATTGATACCACCTGACCAAGTCGTTGTTTAAACTAAGGCTTTAAACTATGCTAATGAACTATATTTAGCTGTCATGTACTCATTTCTTGTATATGTATACCTTATGTCTCCATAAGGGATGTGTTACATGTATTAGTGTCCCCACAAAGTGATGGTATTATAATGATGGAAGTCTCCACATTGTCAGGGTGAGAATAGAAATCACCAGACCCAGCCATTTTTTTTTTAAACTCAAGAGTGATTTCTTTGCTGATGATTTTTCTGTACTCACCTGTGTCACATACTCCCCCATAAAGACATTTAGTAGTTTTTTTTGCCCCCACCTTGTCTTTTGTTGTCATATTTTGGGTTTCATGACATTATTATCATTGTAGAAATAAGTAGAAATTCATGACATAACCTTAAAAGCACAAGCCTTTACTTTGAGTCACTTCAATTGCAATGTGTTAATAGACATTATGATTACAATTATTGCAAAAGATAAGGGAAATAATTGGCAAAAGTTATACCAGCTGAAAGAGAATTAGAGGTGTCACAACAAATATCTAAAGCATGAATGTTGTAAAAAGCATTTATAGAAAGTGATTATGTAGAGGAAACACACATCCAACTTTTGGATCCAGTATGTGTAGCCGAGGAATGTCTCGATGTGTCTGTTTCTTTAGAAAATGTCCATTTTCCAGTTACTTTTGGCGCAAACAAAGGGGAGGGTCTCGTTGCAGGCGCCAAAGTGCCATTTCTTCCCAGCTGTAATGAGAAAATAAACAGAAACGTTTAAATCATGCACTCTGAAGTTTGTTTTTACACAGGTTTAGTAATATTTAGTAATATGAAATGTTGATCTGGCATTGCTTTTTCTGTTTGCTGTTTTTTTATTTGAGGAGTTTGGATTCAATCTTTCTGGAGTCAGTAACCAAAAATGAATTAGTATCAATTGACCACAAGTAAAGTGTTTCTTTTTGTTTGTTTTGTCTCTCTACATGTTTTATTTGTGAAGATGGGGCAAGAACCATCCACTAGTTATCAGCACAATAACTGAAGTAATCAACAAGATGGTTTTAAGATCTTAGTGATCTCATCTCTACTTGTTTAACCGACAGAGATTCTACAGCTGACACGGTAGTAGGGATAAGAAAAAGCACTGTTCATTTCTTTTATAAAGTTAAACATGGAGGACACAAGAGTCTGTGTTGGGGGGGGGGGGTGTATTTACGTCCATAGTTCATCTTCAGGCAGTGCTCTTTTCTCTCCATATAATAATCCATGAACCAGTTTTCATAATTAAACTTGGTGCCGTCACTCCAGAACCACATGCAGGTCTATAGAAAGACAGAAAACAAATAATGGTCGTCTGATATAAACTGATTTTTATGTCTCAATTTGTTCCAACTGTCAGGATATAAACTTTTATTACTACAAATGATTTGGATAACTTCTATACCTGTATGGCATCATATCCACCGAGCCAGGTTTCCGGGAAGTCGTAGTTCTTGTCTTTGGTCAGAGCCTCGATGAAGTGGTTCTCCAGATCACTGTGGACCGATGCCAGGTTTCCTCCCTCAAACAGACAGTAACTCTGGAAAGGACAGGAGGACATGTTATGGTTATTAATCGCATTAGCAGTAAACATTTCATCAGACCTCACCTCAGCTTCAGCCACGTCTTTTCGTGATTGATGACCATGATACATTTCTCGCCGTACATGGACCAGCCAAGAGGACAGTAGTATTCCTTTCCTACCAAAAAAATAAATGCAAATGACTGAGCAGCAAATATAGACATGAAATAACAGCAGTCATCATTTAAATGTAGCAATATTTAAATTCAAATATGTTCCAACATTTGGAGCTGATTAGGAAAGCCAGCATAATTTAATTCTCTCCATCCTCCCTCAGTTTTGGACTAAAGGGGTACAACTTCAGAACAATAAAGACCGGGGCATGGTGATCCATATGAAATGCTCCAGGAATGTTGTCTATAATACTCTGCATATAGGGAGAGGGAAAAAGAAGCAGGGATGGAAATGGCAGAGGTCTCTATCTCAGATGCTTCCCAATAGAGATTCAAAAGAGATGCTAGAGACGATGATGTTTCGTTGTTCCGTCCTTTTTGTATATCTCATTACAACATGTGATCAGGACATGATCATCACAATCTGTAGTAAACGCTGCCTAGAACAATATAAACACCATTTTATTTTTGTTGTTGTTTGTTCTTTTTTTGTGTCTCAGCTTGTTTGTCTCATTTTAAATGTGCATATAATTAGTCTGTTTCTGTGACGTGTGTTCAAAGTCTGAAAAATGTGGCTCGACGTACGCTCTATGAATGTCGTCTTACAATGTCTGTGTTATGTATTTATTAACTAATTCATCTATTAATGTCGTCCTTTAACTCTGCTCTTCATCTTGCCTGGCCCTTGTGGGTGTCATTACCCAGGGAGGCCACACGAGGGTGTCAGCGTGCTAGCCCTTGTCTTTGTCATGTTCTGATTGGTTTGTTGTTTCTGATAAATTCCGTCTGTTGTTTCTTTGTAAATGTTTGCATGGTCTGCGTGCATAAACACAGTTTTCTAAGTCTGTGTGAAAGTAGAAGCTCGTAGCCGGGATATTTAAGGCAACTGAGGGGCTAAAATGTTTTTCACCTGAGATTTTGTGCTCTGTATTCTTTCCTGCTCACCTCAGTTGTCCGTATTGTTTTCTACTGTTGTAGTTGTTGTGATGTACAAATGTCTTTATACAAGTTGTGATACAAACTCAAAAACTGGAGCCATTACTGAAGACTTCCTGTGTTGGCTCTCAGTCGTCCAGTTCATGGTCGATCAAAGCTTGATCCAAAAGCCACTCTCCTCTGAAACCTTCAAGATATTCAACTAAGTCCAGCTGCCTTTTGGATCAAGCTTCCATTTATTGAAGACTCGTTCTGGACGCGCTACTCCGCCCCCCCCCCCGCAGAAACTATAACAAGTTTTTATTACTGTAAGGGCGGATCTGACACTGACTGTCTCCTGCTGTGACATACATATGTGAAAGGCAATTCTAGCTAATATCAGGTCCTGAATGTCCTGAAATGATCTAGAAAGTGTCAGCAGTTCATGCGTTAGGGGGGCTCTTGTAGGGTTCAATAGCGTCCTTTGTCTCCACCCTCATTAGACATGAAGAGTCATTGAAATGGAGACTGATATATTTCAAACCAAAGGAGCAGACAATATGCTCTCAGAGGGGAATCAGTCGTCAATAATGTGTAAACATTTTAGTTCAAGATCTGAAACGAGCAGAAAAACACTTCAGCATGAATCTGAATGTAAGGAACAACACTCACCACACTCGTAATGGAAATCCCCAATAAGTGCCTTGGTGTTGTATACCATATCTCCGGTGTAGATGCTGACGCACCAGCAGTAGCCTGTATATGTGCAGCACTGCCGCGGGAGGAAGTTCCCGTTTTGGTCACACTCTGGGATGTATTCTCCAGACTTGTATTTGTTGTGGTGCTTCATGTACTCGCAGTGGCCCATATTCCTGGACGTGGAGGAGGAGTTAACGGGACTGGCTGGGCTCAGCGTCAGGAGGCCGCAGAGGGTCAGACACACTCCCAGCAACAACATGATGGCAAAGTGATGCTGATGAAGGAGGGGAAGCTTTAGAACCACAGGAGTCAAATACTGGTACATGAAAATATTCAACCTGAAGTCATGTTTGGACTCTTGTGTGGATTCTTAGTGTGCAATAGATGAAACAATCTGAGGTAACATGTATATCTGTGTTTACTTAAAGCTTCGTTTTCTTGAAGACAAATTCTGAAATCTGTTCAAAAAGAAGGACAATGTGCTCCTTACTGACTCTTTCAAAGAAAAAGCAAAGTAGACTCACCTGTTTCAGGACAGCTGCTGAGCTCAGGCTGCTCCTCTTCCTTTTATACTGATGTTCCTTCTCTCATTGTTTTCTTCTACCCAACAGCTCCAAGGTCAAACGCCACGCCGACAATGACCCATTTCACCAGAGTGTAACACAGAAGACGGGCAGGAAGCGATGCAGCTTTGTCTTTCCCTTATTAATGTATCAGGAGACAACCTCTTTTCATTATAATCAAGATGAGCTTTGGGTTACATCATTTTGATATCGCCCTTTGAGCTCATTGTTTGAGTCCTCGTTTCCCAGACTATCTTGTGTGTTTTCGTCCTTTTTAAGCTGTTCTGATTTCACGGTTTCTTATTGTATAAATATGGGTCATTTTTGAACACTTGAGATGACTTGATTTTATCATATTAAACATCCTGCAGTAACAGCTTCAGCTGTAATATATCGGAGAGTTGTTGTTGAAGTATCTTACTAACTCAAAAAGAAAGCAGTTTGAGTGTGAAACTAAAGACACCTACTTTCAAACATCAGAATAAAGTTAGTAGAAGGTTTGAAGGTCAACATGACATCAGAGAGTTGTATGTTGACACTAAGCCACACCTCCTCGACTCAGACTAGATCACGTTACCTTAAGTTATGAAAAGCTGTTAAACTCCGGTTAAGGTTATGTTTCTGCAATAAACACAAAACTTCTGTCCGAGTCACTGAGACTCAGACGAGGATCTCATTCCTCCAGGGTTAAAAAGGTCACACAGTGCTTTACACCAACAACAGACAGATCACCAAAACAGGAACAAACCAGCAGCTCAAAAACCAACATTTTTAAATCCTGAAAACAAACATGAGCACGGTAAAACTGGGTGGACATAATTACCCACCAGCCTGGCTCACGTTTTAAGCTACTGTTTAAAAACTCAACAGTCAGAAGAACGCAATGAAGGGGCGGATTGGTGCTATAGCCTCAAACGCACGATCACCACAAGTCTTAAAATCTGTCTGTGAGACGGACAGCAGGTGAGATGTGAATCTGACAGATATTCTGTGTGAGAGAGAGCGAGTGAAGCGAGACCGTTTGTTTGACCCGGTGAGGACGCCAGCAGCATTCTGACTGGAGAAGGTTTAGGGCGGCCAGGCTGAGTGAGGTGAAAGACGTTACACTCGTCAATATGAGACATGTAAGGTCATTTTACTGACGTTGCTTCAGTGGTCAAAGCATGATCTCATTAGCTGCAACATGGCTGTCGACTGGTAACAGGATCAAAGGCGACTCCCAGTTTACAAAGCTTTAGAGCGAACGCCTTCTTTGTCAACAACCACGCTGAACATCACCTCATGAGGGCTCGATCCCAAACGCCACGCTCATAGACTCACGCGTTTAGGACAAGCAGTTTGTAAAATGCACATGAACACATTCAGACTTTGCGAACTGAAATCACACGATTTCGTCGAAAGAATGACTTCCCAACTCTGAGACTTGGAGCACCAGAGCAGCACCTGAATGCATCATAAGAGGAAGTGATGTTTAGAGCCTGAGTGAAAGCCTTGCTGTTTGTGAACATAAAGAGGAAGCGAAGCATCGAGCTGCTCCTTCAGTAAATATACAGATTTAAATAACATATGGTACCCTGTTGGTCATACAGAGAATATCATTCAGGGTTAGGGTTTGAACATGTTCTCTGTGTGAACGTCACAGACCATAACTTGCACAGATTTCCTGTGGAAAGTACATTTCATGCTCACTACCTCTTTTCACTTTGTTTTATGACAGCTGTCGACTCGAGTTTCCTGTTCAGTTAGAAAGAGATGTTCAATCTTTCTGATCTTTACAGAGTTCCCCTCTCGTTGCCTTGAATCAGCTCAGCGACAAACGGGTAAGACCAGCAACCTTAACTTCATGCTCTCTGAGAGGCTAAAATGTTTTTCAGTTGGACCTGAGATTTTTGCTCTGTATTCTTTCCTGCTCACCTCAGTTGTCCGTATTGTTTTCTACTGTTGTAGTTGTTGTGATGTACAAATGTCTTTATACAAGTTGTGATACAAACTCAAAAACTGGAGCCATTACTGGGTTAGGGTTAGACTAACCCAGACTCCCTGTGTTGGCTCTCAGTTGTGGTACCCTGTTGGTCATACAGAGAATATCATTCAGGGTTAGGGTTTGAACACGTTCTCTGTGTGAACCAGCGACAAACGGGTAAGACCAGCAACCTTCACTTCATGCTCTCTGACAAAATCAAACACTTTGAGTTTGTTTCTCTGTTCAACAGCAGCCGTCACACCATAAAACATTTGACACCGTTAGTGAAACTCACCTTTAACCTCAGTCCTTCGCTGCCTGTCATCCCCTTCTCTCTCCTCCCGACATTTCTCTTCAGCTGTTCTATCTGATAAAGACAGATAATGATCTAAAGCTGTCTTCTTGCCTTTGCAGTATGGGACAGTCGGCCAACACCTATCTCACCCTTCTAGTCCTCCTGCTCTCCCTCGGCTGCGCTCAGAGGTCAGACACCGACAGGAAGAGGTGTGGTCACTGTGACCTGCAGCTCTCCTGTAACTGCTCCTATGGTGGATTCATCCACGTTCCTTTGGTACCAGAACGAGCCTTGTCTCTAGATCTTTCCTTCAATAACATCACGGAGGTGTGGGCTGATGATCTGAGCAGCCACATGTCACTGAGGGCTCTGAGTCTTCATGGTAATGCTGATCGGACTTTAAAAAGGCTAATGTTTATATATCATGTCAGAAGTTCTTTTTACAGAGTACTTCAACACTTTTCATTGGGATGAGCTGAGAGCTTTACGTCCTTCTGTCTGATATTTACATGTCAAATTTTTTTTATCCATTGACATCATATTTAAAGTTCAGGTTACATCTAAAACCTTGAGTCCTGAATCCAAACAAGTCCACCCTGACTGTGTCAACATCCTCAAACAAGTGTTTGGGAGGTTTTCTTCTTCTACACTTAGCATCGTTTTCATGGTGCCATTTTTAAATGTGTCCCATTAGGTGGCGCCACCACATGATTCATATTTAGAATATTTAGAATAATCTTATATGACGATATTACTTTCCTCCAGGTAACAGACTAGCTGTGATCCATCTGTCAGCGTTTGATTCTCTTTGGAGCCTGGAGAAGCTCGATCTGTCCGACAATCGACTGACAGATATCAACCACAAATGGTTCACCAAGCTAGGAGCTCTGCAGCAGCTCAACCTGCTCGACAACCCGTACAGGTAGGTGACCGTAAAGAGAGAGAACAGTATCCTCCTCATCACATAGGACTAAGTATCTAGATACTTCTACTCACACATATTCTCTCACTTCCTCTTCTCTAGCTGCCTGGTCTCCTCCGGCGTTCCAGAGCCTGGTCAGCTGAGGAGGCTGGACTTTGGAGGTCCTGCTCTGGTGGAACTGAGGAGAGGAGATCTGTCAGGGTCACAGAGCTCGAGGAGCTCACTATACATGCAACAACCTTGAAAGGTGTAATACAGACAATGTTTTTGTGTTGTTGCTTGAAAGCCAAGGGACATCACAAGGCAAAGTTTTCATTTGACATTTGTTCGTCTTCATAACCGTTTGATTCTTAATGATATTTAATGAACCAGCATGAAGTATGAAAAGGCAATTAAAACAATCTTTTATTTTAGGAATGTCAAATTAGAATTAGAAAGACCAAACCAATAACATGTCTTCCAATACTTTTGAAAATTCCCTTTGCTGTTGCTCAAGGCCATTAGCTTCCACTGGACCATTAAACTAAATTTGATCCGTTGTGTTGAATGAGTTCCCTCTTTCCTTGACCCCCTCTTGTTTCTTTCATCCACTCCAGGTACGAGTCTGGGGCTCTAGCAGCGATGTGGCCACTAGTCGTGTCACTTTGAGGCTCCATGAACCATTTCTAACCAACACAGCCTTAGCTTCAGCTGTGCTCGCTGATGTATCATACCCAAACACACCTCTTGTTCTGGAGGACCTCCATCTGGTTGGGAATGAGTCCTTGCAGCCCTTCAAAGAGACAGCCAAGAGGAGGATCAGGTCTAGTCTCCCTTAAGTCCTGTATCTGCACCTGCATGGTGTCCTTTAAGTTTCTGAGTAAAACATACTTCTTTACCTCTAGTCAAGGCATATAGTTGACTTTTTTCCTGCAATAGACAATGCAATAGAACTCAGAGACCTTCGCGGCACCAAAGCGCACCAAACCAAATGTCTTCATAATGTTGCTACAACAATGCAAAATACCACACAGTGAAAAAAACTAACCAGCCTGTTCCTGTCAATGTCACACTCAGGAGCCTTACTCTCCGAAACCTGAACATGTCAGATGAGCCGTAGTTGACTTACTAGTTGTGATAGATGGCGTGCCGCTAACCTTTATTTCAATTGAGGACCTCACACTGACAGGCGAGGGCAGGTAGGAAACCAGAACATCAGCATGATCGGTCAAACCCTGTGTTACTCACTTTGAGATTTCATTGCTATTTGTTATCTCTTTAGCACGTTTTGCCAAAAAATGGCAAGCTTCAAATATGGTGACAGTTGTGAGCACTAATTCAGAAGCAAAGTGTTGAGTGAAGGAACTACATGTTTGTTTTTCTTGCACTGTGAGGTGGGAGCAGCCAGTTGGACAGACCATAGAGGCATCGACGATTCTTTCTACAAAACCTTGTGGTGCTGGATGTCTTCAAGTTTGTCTCGTTGTTGCAGCACCGGTTTCTGCTGCACTACCCAAGGAAGGTGTCTGTCATACATTCTCAGTAAGGAACAAGGACTGTCACAGTATGTTTAATGTGTGTGTTTGTGTGTTTCCCAGACCTTTACGGTAACTGAAACCACATTAGTAAGGTTATTGTTCTACTGAGAGACATGATAACATCTCGTTTAAAGTCTTATCGCACACACCTGCAGGACGTCATTCTTTTTAAACCAACCTGTTTTTATGAAAGACGAGTTGTGCATTTTGGGAGTGAGGGACTCGACTGCAACTGCGCATAGTCGCAGTC